AAGTGCAGTAATTCTAAGCATTTAATGTAATATTATCAACAGGAATATTATTATATTTTCAAATGTTAATTGTTGTGAATATTGATTGCAAAACTATTTTTCTGTATGCGGGGCTCTAAAAGAAAAGCAGAATAGGGATTGAAATTAGGTCTTTTATGCTTCTGCCACACCAAGGTAAAGTCAGCTTATTGTCTGCACTTGCCATCTCACAGAGTGATTTTCCTGTCACCCTAAAATGGCAGAAACAATTGCATTGAAAAGGCCCTAGAAGACTTCAGTATAGGTCCAAAGGGCTACCTTTTGGCTGATCTCAGGCTGTGCAGGCCTGACCCAAAGACACCAGATAGAAACACATTTCTCTGTACTAGGGCTGAGAAACACTGATAATGCAATGTACGGAAATGCCTTGCTGTTCCTTTTCATGCACTGCTTGTTCTGTGGATAAATATAGAAACTGTTTAGCTGTGCAAGTCTTCACAGATAGCAGACAGCGCTGCGTGTCACCGTGCGAGGACTGTGAATGAGCAGAAACACTTCATTTGCAGTATTAGAGCTGTGTTTCTGACAACAGATTATTCAATCATTTTTCAGCCTTCACTTTGAAATATGTGGTGTTTGCAAAAATAAAAATGAAATAAATTGTTCCAATATCCAAGATGTCTTTGCTTCAGAGTACATTAATTCAGACAAGGCTGGTTAAAAACATCAAAGGTCCCATATTAGATCTGAGTGAGAAGGCAAAGGAACTAGGGGGAAAAGCAAGATTCTACCAAGTGAGAAAACTTGCTTTGGATCCTTGCAAACAAATTGAAATAAAAGAAAAAGAAGAGGGGGAGGCAAGCACTGTGATCAGGAAAGATGATTCACAAGGCTTCAACTCTCTGCGTATGCCTAATGAATGAGTAGAATGGAGTACTTAGGATGAACAAAGATGTCTCATACTCTTTATTAACTTACGAAGCATCTGATGGAGGCATGAGGATTCTGCATACTTTCTCCGCAACAGTGCAAGAGAATGTATGTCATTCAGATATTGATGAGCACGAGTTCCCATCAGGGCCGGGGAACCAAGTTTAATGGTAAAGAGTATTGGAAGGAAATGTCTATCAACATCCTGAGAGCCAGTTTCCTATCCCTGTCCTACACCCAGGTCATTTATCTGACACAAAGTGTTCCTACCTGACCTTCATGAGTTTAACATCTTATTTTTTTACTTCCTGCAGAATTTTTAAGGTTTTTTTTTTCTCACAATGACTTCAAAAATCACATTATGGAAAATAAGCTAGCAAGTTATGAATATGCTTGCACTGACATGCAATGCTTGAGAATTTGCAAAAAGCCACATACAAACTGTGGTCTGCATCAGTTCAGTTTGTTGACAACAGAATCTAACTGTACTGGTCATGGAGCACTTCTGTGCAGTGCACCTAATGAATAATTGCCTGCTAATCTGGAACCTGAATCTAAAGTAGCAGGCTAAGGACCTTATCATATTAGAAAATACTCCATTTCTGAGACTGTTTGAGAATGATTTTGAATGGGTCCCATCACATGACATTTTCCCCATCCCATCAATATCCCACTGAAATCTGTTTGTAAAGCATCACAGAAACATATTATTTGCAGATGGAATTATATTCGTGTTTTCTGAAATACTGCAGATTCTTCCATTGCTGCAATGCTGTTTTTGTGTGTGATGGGCAAATCTGTATGCATCCCATCAGCAAAATAATAATAATAATAATTATTATTATTATTATTATTACTATTATCTTTATTTATACCCCGCAAAATCTCCCGAAGGACTTGATGCGGCTTACAAAGGCCAAGGCTGCCGACAACAGCAACATACAATACACAATAAACTCATAAGTAAAAAAATAAAACATCAAGCAGAACAATAAAACAGTAAAACAATGACACTGTGACGCAATTAAAACCAAAATTTAAAAAGTGCTGAACTTGACAGGTAATATGTAGAGGTATTTGGAGGTAGGTGCAATGTGCGGACAATCCTGAATCTCTAGCAAGGTGCATTTGGGACTTGAAGCCAGGAGTTTCCTATTCTGGAAAGGCACACTGGAACAGCCAGGTCTTCAGGCTCTTCCTAAAGACAGTCAACGTTGGGGCTTGTCTGATGTCCTTGGGGAGAGAGTTCCAGAGTCGGGGGGCTACCACAGAGACGGCCCTGTCCCTCGTCCCCATCAAACTTTTTAAAAGGTCATACAGTGATGTAGGAGGTGTTTTGAATGGGGTGGGAGGAGCCAGCATTTTGTGGTGTGATGAGTCAAAGCACAGTATTTTAAAATCATAAAAATTATAAGAATCAGATGTGATGAGAGTATGCATCCTGTCTTAATACAGTATGCACCCAGTCCTAAAAAAAAATATGGAAAGCATACTGCCATAAAGAGATTACATCCCAATCTGATCAGGTCCTAATAAATCAGGCCTGTAATCATTTCTTTAATCTAGTTTATTGAGTTCAATTGTCATTATGCAGGTCTGTGAATTAATCTTTCTGTATGTGTGTCTCTCTGTTTTAAGAGTTCATGAAAAACATAGCTTAAGGTGATGATGTGCAGAAGTCTCCCATCCACAAAAAATATAGCCAGGTTTACCAAAATTTTTGCTTTTCTAATAAATCCCCGGGTATTCCCCACATCAGTAACCTGAATCCACCTTCCAATTTCACTTCAGGTAAAATTTCATGAAAATGTCATTCTTTCCTAAGTTTCTTTTAGAGTAAATTATTTTAACAATTGTCTTCCTGCTGGGAGGAGAAGCTTTGGAAAACCACAGTTTTTGAAGGTTGTTCACAGTTCAGAAATTCTTCTGCACAAAAATGTCAAAAAACATTTTTTTACAGAAAAGTTTGCATGAAGGAAGGAACTATCTATATAATTCTATATGATTTCCTGTACTAAAAGTGCTGTTTGCTGTGTAGAAAATATTTTCTAGGCAAATCACCCAAAAATGTCACTTTCCGTTCAGGCATTGAGATTTTTGCATATAGATATTATTTTCTGTACATAAAGGTCAGTTTTCTGTGTAAAACAACCAGATGGGAAGTTTGCACACAAAGTATACAATTTTTGAACGGTTTTTTGATATATATTTTCTGTTTGTCATGGGACTTCTGTGTGCCATATTTGGTTCTATTCCATCATTGGTGGAGTTCAAAATGCTCTTTGATTGTAGGTGAACTATACATCCCAGTAACTACAACCCACATATGTCAAGGTCTGTTTTCCCCCCAAGAGCGCCCCTGGGAAAAATCAACTATACTGCAAATGCTTACTTTGCGTAATGGATTGAGCCGCCCCTGATAACAATAATCTTTTAACGTACTACTTTGATGTAAGGGAGGAGGGGGAGAGCTAAGAGAAGAAATTAAAGGCTTTAGTGAAGTCTAAAGAGTGACTCAAACTCAGAGTCACCCTAAAAGAAAAGATCAACTAATAGGCATCAGGCCATTGTAAACGCATACTTGACTGCCCACAAATATTCTAGATTGTATCAAAAGCAGATTTTACAAAGCTTTCTGATTAGTCTAAATTTCACATGCATTAATAAATCCAGGGCTTGTGGAGATGTTAAAAACAGAACTGGGGAAGATTTTTTTTCTCCTTCAATACAGAGCTTGGAAAACTAAATTTTCCAGCCAGGAATATTTTCTCTCTCACTTGTATTAGATTAGATGTTCATTATTTGAAAGGCAGGCATTCAGCAATCCATATTATCTACTTTGAACTGGATTATATGAATCTACACTATCATATAACCCAGTTCAAACCAGATAATTTGGGATTTATATGGTAGTGTAGATGGGGCCTGGGGCTCATCTCTTGATGGGATGAGTTCTGGTGATGTCATGAAGCGTAATAGCATAAGCATAAATCAAAATTATCTGCTTTGATCATTTGCATTATATGGCAGTGTAGAAGGGGCCCCAGCCTTATGTTCGGGTCCTGAAATCACAGGACCTAGGAGGATGCTGCCCTAGAGGCTTTTGTTCAGATAGATGGTATGAACATTTTTTTAGATATTTGATAAAGTTTTGCTACAATGAAGAAAACAATTTCAATAAAATGTGAATAAGAAATGATATTTGTGAATGTCTTTTAAGGAATTCTGCAAGAAAATAATTTCAATGAAACTGTCAGCAATTGTCAAAAGATTTTCATTTGTCCTGGTTCAAATACAATATCCAGCTATATTCCTGTTTCTTTATCTTCATTGCTTATATCTTGCAAATTCATAACAAACTTGTTGTTGCTATCTACAAAATATATGTCATAAAAAGCAGAGATTGCATCCATGTTTGGGATGAAACATGCAGCTCATAATTGATAGAGATGGAAATTCAAAGAAGAAATATGAATCCTTCAATAGTGTACATTGGTTCCTTTCTCATAACTGTTCATTTTAAAGAATAAAAAAAGATCTGTGTTATTACTGAAACTGGCCACAGGATGTCAGTGTTAGCTAAGCACAGAGATAAGAAGCGCAATAGAATCAGAGGGCCCAATTCTGTGAAATCACAATATAAGCATCAGAGATTCGCTTTCTCTTTGAATAGGTATCATCAGGGCAATTAGGTACAATCCCCAATGAGGCAGGGTTATTGCACAGAAAACATTGTTTTCAAGCAAGCCGGGTTAGAGACTCAACAATATGCCTCTGGGACCAGGAGCACATCATTCAAGTGAGTGGTGCCAAATGTCTCCCTGGGCTTTTCCTCACACTGAAATTCTTTCAATTAAATTTCTAAGAAATGAATTAAGGGAAAACCTTTCAGGTATTCTACCTGCTGAGCTGCTGTCTTACTTCTTTATTTCTTGGGTCTCTGTTTTCCAAAATCTGTGTAATATCTCTGTCAAGTACATTTGACCTCTTGTCTCTCCTTTCCACTCCACTTGGAATGAGTTCACATTTCAACAAGATTGTTAATTGTCCAATATGGTGTAACATTTTGAACTTGTCTATCTTTATTGCAGCCATTAGACTTTGAAACAAAAAAGGCATACACTTTTAAAGTAGAGGCCTCAAATGTCCATCTTGATCATCGCTTCCATTCTGCTGGCCCTTTCAAAGATACTGCGACAGTCAAAATCAACGTGTTGGATGTGGATGAACCTCCAGTTTTCAGCAAACATTTTTATACCATGGAAGTTTATGAAGATACTCCAGTTGGAACAATTATAGGAGCTGTGACTGCTCAGGACCTTGATGTTGGCAGCAGCGCCGTCAGGTAAGAAAATGCTTTATGTTGATGCTACTCAAAGTGGTGATCTGTTGACTTGTGCTGGTGCAACTGGCTCATGATCCACAGAGAAACTCAAAGAAAAACTAAACTAGCTGTAGCCAATTGGCACACATCTAATATTGGTCTCTGGTCCAGGAGAAAGGAAAAAATCTGCCCCCCCCCCCATACATATTTCACATAGCATGGAAAGCACAATTCTGTGCCATAGGAATATAATGACCTTAGCACAACATCAGCAAGTAGAAGCCTCAAATGGAAAATTAAAACTCAAAGAAGTCAAAAGAACACATTTTGGATTCAAAACTAGGGATTAACAATTTAGCTCCTCTACTAGCCCAGATGTCAGAGCTTTACCAAGATAATTCATCAGTTAAGTTTAAATTTCTTCAATATTTGTTCAGACAAATTAATTTCATTACATAACACCAACACGATTTCCAAAGTTTGGCAAATAATTGAGAGACTATTCGAGAATCACTTTTAGATTATACATTACTTATTGTAAAAGGAGGCAAAGCCTAAAGTGGCCTCATAGGACCTCGCCACATTAGATAAAGAGCCCCCGGTGGCGCAGTGGATTAAACCCCTGTGCCGGCAGGACTGAAGGTTCAAATCCGGGGAGAGCGTGGATGAGCTCCCTCTTTCAGCTCCAGCTCCTCATGCGGGGACATGAGAGAAGCTTCCCACAAGCATGATAAAACATCAAAACATCTGGACGTCCCCTGGGCAACGTCCTTGCAGACGGCCAATTCTCTCACACCAGAAGTGACTTGCAGTTTCTCAAGTCACTTCTGACACAAAAAAAAAAAAACCACATTAGATAAATTCCCCTTGACTCAGCCAGCCTGGAGCCTGCTGGATCTCATCCCACGATGCTCATCTACTTCCGGGAGGTTTCCTTGCCAGCTGTTTTGAGGAAGCATGTTAGGAGGGGAAAATCTTAACATGGGAGTCTACCTGTGTTCAGATAGAGACTCATGGCAACAATGCAGGACCTCACCAGAAAGTGTAGCTTTCCAGCATGTGTTGGGTAAGTGAGTGTGTGGGGGATGTTGGACATGAGGTGACAGATTTGCCCCACTGCCCCAAAATTTGCTCCACTGCCCTCTGCCCCTCATTGTCCCCTGTAATAAGGACCTCATTGTTATGAGATCTTTAGTTTCCTCCTGCTAGCACGCTGTTCCCATGTGCTTAGTAATGGAGGAGATGATTAAAGTGCTGTAGTTAGGAAAGAAAAAGAGTAGAGAGATCAGTCAGGAATGCAAGTCCCAGATGAATGTTAGCCTGTTCAGAGATGATATTGCCCTGGGGATTGTAAGATTATCTGGCCTGCTGTATATGTTGTAGCTGAAGTGGATGTTGGTTTTGTCCTCATTTTTTTCTTAAAATGCCATTTAGAATTATAACATTAGTACTACAAAAAATGAAAATAAGCATTATTCAGTCAAAAATATAATTCAGATTTAGATTAAGATGCTTAAAATTGGCTTTATAATGAGTACAAAATCCACATGAAAGTATAAATAAATCTAGGCTACAGAGTATAATATAGTTAAAGGGTGGATTATTGGCTCTATATTCTTGGTTCATTATCAGAGTTTAACAAAAGACAATAAAATAGTTTAAGATGATGTGCCTCATCCAAAATTAAATAATGAGCTGCCCAATGGAGAACCATCAGCTTATGTTTTTATCAAAGAAAGGGAATTCTTAATTACTGCTTTTGAAAATTGGCTTATGACACATTTAATTTGATGCACTCCAGTAAAGCATCCTACATTAATTTCTGAGAATCAGATAGTTTAGTGTCAAGTTGGGAGACATGTTCTGAAAGATGATGAAAGAAATAATCAGTTAGTCACCCCAGGCTGAAAAAAAATGGCCAGCATTGTGATGTTAAAGCAGCTTGACCAGATCATCCTGCTAGCAAATTTACATAAGACTATTTATGCCTGATCATGTAAATATTGCCTCGCTTCACTCTCAAGTGTTTACAACCTTGCACAAGGCAGAGTAAAAAAAATGGTGATGCCAACAGAGATGAACACTTTATTATGTGGCATTTGCTGGTTTTGCCTGTGGTGCCTACATGACCAAGAAGGACTGTTGTCTCTACTTGCATAAACACTAGAGGTGTACACGATGCTGTTTTTCAAAACAGGATCCAGGAGGTCTGGTGGTTTTGGAAACCAAATCTCTGAAAATGAAATAGGCGACAGCGCTTGGATTAGCTCTGCTGAAATGGACAATGTGGTGGCCAAAATTGGCTGCTTTCAGTTGCTTTCAGCACCCACACGAGAGGGGGGAAGTCCCCTTAGCTTTGTCCAAATCAACCAGAGCAAGAAAGCAGATCTTTTTTTTTTTTTTTTTGCCAAGGTGGTCTATTGATGAATTCCTCCATTTCCCCATGGCGACCTGGTATTTGAGAGAGAGAGAGATCGTGTGCTAATAGCTAGCTCTGTGTTCTATCTCAGTGCTGTCGTTGCTTAGGATCACTTTTGGACTAAATTTCAATCTATTCCTTTGGCAATTTTATATAAAAATAGTTCAATATATTTCAGTGCTTTTAAAAAACTATTTCACCAGGTAGGTGAGGGTGGGCATGCATTTGTGAGGCTTTGAAAGGGCATTTGGAGGGTGTTTGTTTAAATATTTTTACCTTTGTTGGGGGGGGGGGCATGTTAGCGAAGAGAGGAAGAGTGGCTCGCTTGCGTCACCATGGGAAAAGTTCACTCCCTCCCCAGACCTATCTATTTTCTTGTTTCTTTACTCTGTCCTGTACCTTCCTTCCTCTTGTTTTTTTTACCTTTTTTTAAAACAAAAAAGCCCTTTCTTTTTTCTTATTCACTTCCATGACTGACTAATTTATTTCTGTCCCCTGCCCTACCTTCTAGCTTCTGTGTGTAGTCCTGCCCCAGTTCACCTGGTGTGTGTGTGTGTGTGTACCCTCTAGCTTGTGTGTATTCCTGCATCAGACTAGCAGCCTTCCTCCCTTCCCAAAAAAAGTTAAAAACAATTTTAAAAGCCTTATAAGTTATTTGTTTTTCTCTTTGACTTTCCCTCTCTTATTTTTCTTGTGACTTCTGTGTATGTGCTCCTTCTTTCATGCAATAAGTCTGAGCCTATTCCCCCAGTATAAAAAGATATACACATACACACACACAAACAGTAACAAGAACAACAAGAACAACAAAAACAATATTACTAATGAGGTGTGAGAGTGGTATAGGTGGATCTGCTCTGCTGGGTCATGTGTCAAGGCTTTGAGGGGAGCAATAACCAGAAGGAGAGGTGGTACTGATACAACTAAGAATATTGTAAAAATCAGTGGATAACCAAAATGTTTGGAAACTTGGGGGGCTTGCAGTGGTAAATGTGTCCTCCAGGTGTGGCAATTTTCATTCTGATAGCTCTAAAAACGACGGAAAGGGGAGCTTTGGAAATTCCCCCATTGCAACCAATAAGCCAGATCTTCCTGGAGTGAAAATTGAACTTTCAGCTGCCGGATTGAGAACTGGTATTTTCCTCCTTTCGATTTTGGGCAGTTTTAGGCAGCCAAAACCTGGACACTGAGAATGGCACAGGGTTATCTTGAATTGCACACTCTTAATAAATACTCCCTGAAGACCACCTTAAACACCAACTTAAGCAAAGTTCTCAAACAAGATGCAGATTGACAACTTCATGACCATTTATTTTCTTCTACTGTATGTTATGCAAAATTTGGCCTGTTGAAGAAGTCAGTAAGCTTCAGAAGTCAGACGTCTTTGCTTTTTATTGATATAAAGTATCACCATGTTGGGTATAGGAGTTTGTTGTAAGTTGCTGCATGGTTAACAAAACTGTCACAGAATATATATTTTATGTGAAAATACTGTATTTACTTGATTATAATGCACACATTTTTCTGATAAATTGCTTAACCAAAATTGGGGTGCACAATGTGCATTGCATTCAGTGGCGCATTAGAATCATGTCTAAATCTGTCCCCCTTTCCAACATCCCTCTAAATCCAGATGCTCCTCTCCTCTTCTCTTGCCAAGTGGCAAGACTTTATGCACCACTGCAGCACCATGCTCAAGTTCCTCCTCTTTTTCAGGGCATGTAGATCCACCTAACCCCCCAGGTGCCTTTGCTGACTGCTCACCTCAAACCCAAGAGCCAAGGAGACCACTCCTCCACAAGTACAGCCAAAAAGTGAGGGGGAAGAAGCCACAGTGTGCATACAGCTTCCAGCTGGCCCCAGAAGCCAAGGAGGAAGAGACTAAGGTAGTGAAGGAGTGGCCTCTTTTGCACCTGGGCCCTGTGGTGAGAATGACAAGTGGCCAACAAAGGTGCCTGGATCATGCAGCAAACACTGGGCATCTTCCTCCTTGGCTTGCTGAAATTGTCACCTCGCCAGAGCCAGCTGCCTCACCAGCCACTCATCCTGAAGCAGAGGAAGAGAAGAAGGCAGCCTCCTTCACTCTGGCTCACTGGGCCCTTCCCACGGAGCTGGATTTAGTTTTGCCTCCACAGAGCTCCTTTCATTCTTTCTCCCTTCCACCCTTCCTTATCTCTGCCTGTACTTTCTCATTCTTGTACCTTTTTACTATTCCCTTTCCCTCTCCCTGCCTATCCTTTCAATGCTCTTTTGTTCTTACACCTACTTTCTATTCTCTTTCTCTCTCTTTGCCTTCTCTTTCAAGGCTCCTCTCTCACTTTCCTTCTTCAACCTTCTTTCCATTCTGTTTCTGCTGTGCATTACATTTGCCAGCAGATTCTTTTTTTGATTTTAGGGTCTTGAAAACTGAGATGCATATTAGATTCAATAGTGCACTAGATTCAAGTAAAGATGGAAAGAAACTGTAATATTTTTTTCTTGTTGTGATAGGAATAGGCCAATAACTTGCTGCTAATTTTCTTCATGAAGGAAATAAGTAATTTTATTCACTGTTCATGACTTATTTCTATGTAAGCTTCAAACTGCATTAAATGGCCAATGT